TTTTCGTGGAAGGAAAACTAATGTAATACAAAATGTGATGCTGATATATGATTTTGATATGAAATTCACATTTGTGTATTCTGTTTGGAAATGTACTGCTAATGATTTGTGAGTATTCGTTGACGCAATTACAAGAACTTCGAACAACTTTCCAATGCTACATGGAGGTATATTCTTATACTTCAAATAATTATTGTGAATATATGTACAGTGTCACACTATGTAAGCCCTTGTTTATTTTACAGATCAATTTTGCCTTGTTGATTCTGGATGTCCAAATATTCCTGAATTTCTTATCCCTTATCAAGGTCAAAGATACCATTTTCATGACTATGTTGGACGGGGAAGACTACGTGGGAAGGAAGAATTGTTCAACTATAGACACTCCTTGTGCCGTAACATTATTGAATGTTGCATTGGAGTTTTAAAGGCAAGATATCCTATTTTGAAGTTGATTACCAAGTATCCACTTAGTGGGCAAAGACAAATCCCTATTGCATATTGCACAATAAATAACTTTATTCGTCAGGAGCACGTTTTAGATAAGTTGTTCGTTGAGTATTCAGAGAATAATATGGTGTTTCAAGATATATCGGAATCAAGTCAAGATCAAGAAGTCATACATTCTGATGCTAGTCAAACAGCTCAAATGGGACAAGTCAGGGATCAAATTGCTACACAAATGTGGAATAACTACTCAAGATGTCGTACATGATTCTGTGGATGTACTTTATATTTTGTTTAGTGTCTGTTTGTTTTGTCATGACACATATTTGTCATGACACATAAATTTCTAATAGTATCTATTGAATTGTGTTGCCAAATTTAACTTTTTTTTTTATATCTGTCAAAAATCATTTCAAGATTCACCAACTTCAAAATTTATATGTTATTTAATATTATATTAACATCAAACTGTTTAAATTTATTGAATAATAATATTTCTTGAATAAAATATTATAAAAAAAATTCTCAAATTTCAAAGTAAACGCGTTTTCCAGTCTTGTGTTTTGAGAAATAATTTTCCAGAATGACAAAGAGAACGTATTTCAGCAATTTCAAAACAGACATTCAAAATAAAAAAATCCAAAATGAATTCAAAACTCAAAACTACAAAATTGAAATACGAAGAGAATAGCTCCCAAGATTCTATGAAATGGAGCCCATGAGTTAGCAGTAGTCAGGCAAACCCCTTTTACACCCTTGGAGTGTTGAACCATTGAACGCCACTTATTTCAATGAAATATGAATGTTGGAAGAAATACAACTTTAAGGACGAGAAGAAATCCCATAAGGGAAATTAAAGATTTGCTCGTAAGCAAATACGAGCCGAGTTGCATGTACTGTAACACTTGGCAAATTTTTACAAAAAAAATTTCACCAAGAAAATGAAAGATTTGCTAGTAAGAAAATTCCAGTTGAAGTTGCTTGCGTTGCAAACTTCCATAAGAAATTTGACAAGGAAAATTAAAGATATGCTTGTAAGCAAATCCAATTGAGGTTGCATGTGCCGCATTACTTAGCAATTTTCCCAATGATGTGGAAATTTCGAGCACAGGACTGTTAAATGATAATAACTGAGTTGAGGTCCAATGGACAGAACACTTAAAGAAAATTTTAAAGGCAATGCTATAAGAGACTGTTGGGAATCTACTTATACATGTACAGCGAAATTTAAAATAATTTTCGATTCCCACCAAGAATCGCCTTTGTGTTTAGAT